TGCCATCGGGGTTGGGTTTTCGTCGCTTGGCAACGACGTTGTAAAACAAGCCGCCCCCCCCGGTGTTTGCCATCAGGATTGGGTTTTCGTCGCTTGGCAACGACGTTGTAAAACAAGCCAATTCACTTCGTGAACTCGGCATCCAGGATATCGTTTTTTTTTTTCCTCCGGTTTTTTTTTGGCGGTAACCAAAATGGTGGTCGGGTAGATCATGTTGTGCGGGGTATCGCGAAAAACAAGATTGATTGTGAATATTTGCCCGAACGGACCATACATAGGATATGACCACAAGTAAATAAGACACCTAGATGCATACATATCAATTGCACAGCAGTCGAGGCACATATGAGACAGCTACTGTAGGAAGTGGCCAAGGGTTGGACACAGATATGACACACAGACTGGTGTAAGTTTTGCACGCAGACATGACACGCCGCCTGCTGTATGTGTGCACATGAGAGATGCCATGGAGACGGGTGTGAAATTGAATTTTTTGCAAGTTGCATGCATGCATAGCCTACATACAGTAGCCGTGTGTATGTATGTTCTTCATGGGAAAACATGCCACAATATACATAACTTTGCGTGCTGTATGTTCCGACATGTGCAATTACAGAAGTAGAGATACGTCAAACATGCTACCAGAAAGTACATCAAACCGGAGCATTTATGCACGAGCGCAAAGGACATTGGCAACATTGGCGCACTTGTCCATTGTCCACGTACACTCCGTTGAGGAGAGAATGGTAGCCACAGTTGCCGTCTCCTCGGCACGGCACGGTCCGCAGCAGCTCCCTAGGTATGACAAAGTTGCTGGGACAGATACTGTTCTGCAGGTGTCGATCCTGTCCTTGCAATGTAGCTCGGTCCAGAAAAAGAGTAAGGCGTTCTTGCAGCCGAGCAGCGATACATAAAGTCGGCTACGCACGAGCGTCCGCGGCAGCAGGGAGCTGCCACTGGTGTGGTGTGGTCCGGCAGACGGTTTGAATTTGGATTTGGATTCCCCCCTCCCCCCCTACGAATGAAGAATATGTAAAAGGCAGGTATGCGTGGTTTCCGTGCCCCCGCAGCAGTTTGATTCTGCGTGTCGAGAGCGACAGCATGATGACACAGAATGATGACACGAATTCGAGGAGAAAGAGAGAGACACACACAGAGAGAGAGAGAGAGCCATACACATACACACAGAGCGAGACGCACGTGCAGCAACTGCACTTGCCGTAGGTTATGTGTGCGCCTATCTATGACGCTTGGAGAGGGTTGACATTTGGACAGGTAGTAGTTGTCCTGTGCTGCTGCTGGACCATAGCATCAACAAATGAGGCTTGCTTCAAGAAAAGATTCGTCTATTCCGGAACAAGAATTACAATCAATTATTAAAATTTTTAAGCAATAGACTATTTAAAAATTACCGATAATATTAAATTGGGCGAAACAAATAAAGAGTTTATTAAATCCTTAAATGATTGCTTGGACGATCAAGCCTCTAATAGTAGTAAAGACCTAAGTTTTGACAATCAAGCTTCTAACTGCTGTTGTAATACAAATATATGTAGCTGCTACGCTATTATACCATGTTGGCTGCTGGCAGTGCGTGGGTCCTTCAAGTTCCATGCTAGAGGTGACGTAGGAAGCGTCTGTGGTGGATGACACCAAGTAGTAATAGCCATGCAGGTGAGCAGGCTGGTGGTGGTGCCTATTGGCTGTTTGTGTGTTCTTGCTGCTGCTGTGTTGCTTGCTGCTTGCTGTTGTAAAGGCGTTTTGGTTTCCGGGGACGCACGTCCCGCAGCCCAGGTCACAGAGAAGCGACACATACTTCCTCTGTATCATAAGTTAGGGTACCTAAATTTGTACGGGCCCTTAACCGTGTCCGATCTGTTTTCCGATTTTTTTGTTGAAATCTTCGGAGTTTGTTGAGCAAGAAACATTTATTTTTATTTTTATGCATGCGCCACCCCGCGTGCATGAGCGGCCGAGAAAAAAACAGTCGGCCTGAAAAAGGCCGTATTTTGCATGTGTATCCTGCCCCCTCCGACCNGGGTATGCAGTTGTGCCGTGCCCCAGCAGCAGCAGCAGTTTGAATCTCGAGCAAGTCCGAGTGGAGCGGAGAGACTCAGCGTGAACTCGAGCAGAAATATAGATAGAGACAGAGAGAGGGAGATACGTGCAGGAAGTGCTGTGATGATAACGCCGTATGCTGTGTGTGCGTCTGTGATGGGTGGTTGTACCTGTCTATGTACACGCAACGAGGAGAGGGTACATCCACGCTGCTCTGTGGTTCCTGAACCGAGGCACAGAGCTAACATCACACAGAGAGAGGTGCTGCTACAAACCTACACTGCTTGGTGTCTGACAATCCGTTCCGTGCTAGCTCATGGCAGTAGCAACCGTCTGTGTTACAGCAGTAGTAGTAGCCTGCAGCAGAGCAGCCTGGCAGGAGGCTGGGCTGGCGGGTATGATGGCTACGCTACAGCAGTATTGCTAGTTGGGTTGTCTGCTGCTGCTGATGATGATGATGATGTGATGTTGCACAGGCGTTTTGGTTCCCGGGGACGCACCTCACGCAGCCCAGGTCACAAAGAAGCGACATATATGTCCCAGTCCATATTTTTTAATGTGAAGACAACATATGTCGGTAGGTGTTGCCCACTCCAACGTTTTTATACACGGAAGACAACATACCCGATACCCACCCATAATCA